GCCATCTCCAAAGTCTACTTAAAGCCCAGGAGCAGTATTTTTGTTAGTAGATCACATCAAATATAGAGTTTGTTCTGTTACCGTCTCTGCAGTGAGGTCCCTCTGTGATCTTGGAGCAAATTATGATGTGTCTCAGTTTTCTGCCTCTAAGAGAGTCTCCGATTTTACAAGGAAGTTACAAGATTTTTATTAAATTGTATTCTGATTCTGATTGGTTCAGATCTTACAGTAATGAGCGCTAAAAACACACTGATGAAGGCCCATGCATATTCCCCAACCTGTCACTACCTGACAAAATTAAGCCTGTTTCATGGCTTAACTTTGTGAGTTCAAATCAATTTGTAAAGGAACTGATTCTCGGGGTGCTGAGCAGGCAGAGCTTCTATTAACTTAAGCTCCAAACTAGCAAAGATTTATACATGCGCCTGACTTTGTGCAACACAAGCAATCCAGCTGAAGTGTGCAGGTAACTTTAATAGGATTACCTATTTTGTAGTTCTGATTTTATATTTTTTTCCAGTGGAAAAGTTGGTTTAAGAATTCTCACCTTCTTCCTACCTCTCATTTCCCCCTCCACACTACAATTTACCCTCTTCTCAGTTGTTCATGGCTTTAAACCAGATCAGCTAGGAACTTCTTAAACTGAGTTTGCCACTGCATCTGCTACAATGTGTAATGATGGCCTTCGCATTCTCCTGAGATAGTTTTCTTCCAGTTCATTCACTTCCCTGTGTGTTGACGTTAATGAGCATGTGGTGAATCAGTCCAGCTCTGATCTGGCTGAAAACTCACCAAGGTGTTTTGTTTTATTTTTTTTTTTAAAGTGAGATAGTTGAGCTGATTCAGTTACTGTTCAAGCATGTGAGTGCTAGTACAACCACCTGAATACTAGTACCAAAACAAAAGAGGGGACAGGAACACGGAGTTAGCATGGGTACATCCACATATCCTTTGGTGACAGTGTAGTTTTAGACTGACTTAAGCCAACTGCAGTATTGCACCATTTTGTATATAGAAAGCTAAGCACAGCTTAAATGTTTGCGGAGGGGGAATAGATGCATTTTTATTTTATGTTTTGGAAAGTCACAAGTTGGCTGCTGCAAATTAGCGCTGTTTTGTATTGGCTACTATTACATAGTTGGAATCAACTATCTGTTCACATAATATAGAAGCAAAATGTTTTAGCTGTAGTGTGTAGGACAAAGCTGTCCTACAGTTTTTGGAAGCTTCATAGTTTACGCCATACACGTGAACCAACACTTTAAAAGGTTATCGTTCTAAAAAGAAAAGGCTAAAGTACTGTATTAAATCCTGTTCCCTGATAGGACTAAGAAATGCTGCAAGACAGAATGAAGTAGAGTAAGGGGAGAGAGTTTTCTTTGTGATGCCACTGCTAATGTATTTCGATGGGAGAGAAGTAGCTATGCAAGGCTGGTTATCCTGCCACAAAAAGGTACATTGGCTTGACATTTGTTTTTGATAAATTTAACGCACGGACTGTTGTTCGTCATCCCCGCTGTCTTCGAGGTGGTTATGCATTGTTTTGTCAGAGAATTGACTGGAAAAATTAGGATGACAAACAGAAGGAAGGAAATGGAGAAATGGAGGAAATGGAGAGGTATATGGTCAGGTTACATGGGTGGCCTAAGGGCTTGTCTCTACACACATTTATTTCTTATTCCTGATTAATTTACATACAGACATTCTTATTTCAGAGGAAAGAATTGTTCGGTTTAATCCAGAATAGGTTAAGCAGGAACAATTCCATGTGGAATAAAGCCCTGGGAACAGACTTGATGTTCCAAATCTTTTTAAAGTAATTAAAATAAATGCTTCTATAGATTCTTTCTAAACGGAGCTTTGCAAAGACAAAAAAGAGAGATTAGAGAGATTACTGCTATCCTAGCTGTAAAACACTTAGCATTGTCCTCTGTTTGTTGTTTAACTCGGCAGAGTAAATGATCACACACTGACTGCCTAGAAAATAAACTTGAGACTGATACTCGTTTTTAAAACATAAATGAGCTTTATTAACATTGAGACATGATAGGTGTGTAGGTCATGATGCAGACAGCAATAGAGTCTCTCTACCATTATGGTACATAACAAAGGTTGCAGAATTGTTCTTTTCAACTGTTGTATCTCAGTGACAGGTTAAGGCTTCTTATGCCTTGACCCAAGTCCTGTGGTAGTTGCAACTGGATCCACTAAAGGATTCAGGCATTGAACTCTACAGCTGTGATCAGCAAAACTCCTAATCCCAGGGGCAACTATAGACACATCAGTTTTTGGCAGTATGACTTTCCAGAGCCTGAAAACGTGGCTTCTGAGCATGCCCAGACAGACTCCCGCCTTCACAACACTGAGTGCTTGCCCTCTGTCTCCTAGACCCAAGCAGGATGTGCAAATTAAGGGTTTCTCCATCCTTTGCCGGAGGGATGCAGCTCACCTGGGGTTCCCAGAGCTGGCCCTGTTTGAAGGAAAAAGGAAAGAAAGTAGTTATTGATGCTTCCCTCCTCTTTTATTTAATAGCTTAATTGTTACAGCTCACCCAAGGTGTGGAGTGCTTGCCTTCAGCTCCATTGCTTTTGCCCGAGGAGCCTGAGGAGGACAGACACGTTGTGCTCCGAGAAGAGCGCTGCAGTCGCCAGCCTTTGAGGCTGCTGTGGCACCAGGACCCCTGCTCTGGTTACGTGGAAAATGGGAGAGAAAAAGGCCATGTGAAGAAGGCCACTGGAGGGCTTCCCTGAGAGAGCTGCCCTTCCTCTGTTATTTAATGTATATGATGTAAAGCGAGGACCGGGCCCCAAATCCTCCTCCATCTCTGGGGAGATGCTAATTGCTAAGGAAAGCGTCTCTCTCTGGGGCGCTTTTCTGTGTTTTTACTGTGTCTCCTGGAGCAACTGGGCAAAGAAGGAGAACGCGTTCTTTGTGAAGTCCTCGCAGACACTGTCCCTGACGTGCCTAGGTGTGCTCCCAGCCAGCCCTCGTGTGACTGTGGAGCAGGAGGATCCAGAGGCCAGCTACAGACCCGGCCAGGTTGTAGTTGCCCAGGCTGCGCGTGCTCGGAGGAACTTGCTGCACCCAGCGTTTTGGATTTCTTTTTCTTAGTAGCAGTCAGTCTTTACTCAGGCAAGACTTCCGCTGTTGTTAATCAGAGTTTGCCTCTGTGAAGGGTGAGGGCAGATTTTGCAGAAGCGTGTGTTCATGCTTAAACGGGCAGCTTGTCAACATACAGTTGGCAGCGCCTCAAAGTACACAAAGCGCATTGTTGCCGGATTTAGGCACAAATACGTCAGCTCTTGCCCCATGCTGGTTAAACACTACACAGTCTTTAAATATATAGATATATATATATATTTATTTATTTCATTTACTGTCCCGAGCTTAACCGAATCAAACCCTCGCTTTACTAAGAGC